TAATTGCTCTCTCGTTTCTTGTACCTTTCCATTTTCGTGGAAAAAGGCCCATGTTACGCCAGTTTTCAAAAAAGAAGACCCCTCAATTATTAGTAACTATCGTCCGATTTCTCTGCTGTCTATTGTTGGCAAGCTGATGGAAAGATGTGTCTATAAACATGTCTATAACTTTCTCATAGATAAATCTCTTCTAACACCCTACCAATCCGGCTTTAGATCTGGCGATTCCACTATTAATCAACTTTTAACTATTACTCATGACATTTTTTCCAATCTTGACAAAGGTGTTGAAATAAGATTGGTATTCTGTGACATAAGCAAAGCATTTGACCGGGTCTGGCACCGAGGTCTTCTATCCAAATTAAAATCTTTTAGTTTAACTGGAAATCTCTTTACTTGGTTCACGAATTATTTGCATAATCGTTGTCAATGTGTCGTAATCAATGGTAGACAATCCCATTTAACCAATATTTCAGCAGGTGTCCCCCAAGGATCGATTCTAGGTCCGTTACTTTTCTTAATTTTTAGTAACGACATTGTTTGTAATATAAATAGCAATATTAAGTTGTTTGCTGACGATACATCTCTATATGTCATCGTAGAATCACCGCAAACGAGCGCTAACTTGTTAAATAATAACCTTAGTATAATCAATGAATGGTCTAACACTTGGCTTGTTAATTTTATCCCCTCTAAAACCGTAACAATGACAGTAAGTAAAAAAGCTAATAAACCGCTTCAACCCTCCTTATTTATGAATAATACTGCACTAACCGAAGTCACTTGTCACAAACATCTAGGTATCACTCTATCAGCTAACGCAAATTGGACTGAACATTTACAACAAATCACTAGTAAAGCCTATACAAAACTCAGTTTCCTCAGGTCACTCAAATTTAGCATTGACAGAAAATCTCTTCAAACTTTGTACTGTTCTTATATTAGACCTTTATTAGAATATGGAGATATTATCTGGGACAATATAACATTAGGCCAAAGTAAACTTCTACAAAACATCCAGCTTGAGGCTGCTAGAATCATGACTGGAGCTACAAAACTCACCAATCATGACCTCTTATATTTAGAATCCGGCTTAGATACTCTCGTTAATAGAAGGAAAAAGACATAAAATTATCAAATTTCATCAGATTGTTCATGGTCAGTGCCCTCCCTACCTAACCAGCATGCTTCCAGAACGTCACTCTAACATCCACTCTTATAACACAAGGAGAGCCGATTCTTTTTACTAACCTCCATGCCGAACTAATCTCTTTAAAGACTCTTTCTTACCTTCTTCTGTTGATCTATGGAATGCACTCCCCGATGCCATAAAACGTAATCCGTCTACTACTACTCTAAAAAGATACCTAAATGCTGATATAACAACTGTTCCTTACTATTATTACTTCTGTAAATCTAGACACGGCCAGATTCACCATGCTCGACTTAGGATGCACTGTAGCTCACTAAACGCACACATATATTCTCGTAATCTTGTTAACAACTATCTATGTTCATGTAACCAGTCCGACGAAACTACTGAACACTTCCTCCTCCAGTGCCCTAACTACCATCATATCAGAATTCAATGCTTCAGTAACATACCCCTCGACATTAATGTTATTACCTTATTATATGGTAACCCTGACATGCCAGATCAGTAAAATGAAAATATTTTTGACTGTGTCCAAAACTTTATTAACCGTTCTAAACGTTTTAATTAAGCTCTAGCGTATCTAGTGAGTTTGTGTATACTACGAAGTAATCTCAATTACAGTACTGACCTGGTCGTGGTATATTGTACTTTGTTGAGTGAACCACAATCAAATATAGATCTATAGCAGTCCTAAACTCTTGCTTCGTCATCCTACAACGGTTTCCTCCTTTGAACCCATGAACCCTTTCTTTTCCCCTTCCCTGTACTTATGCACCTACTTAATTACATTATGTTGTCAGTGCTGTCCATTGCTCATGTAATTAGATACGGAGACAGATTAATATAAGTACATTGTACTTGTTTCTGAATCCAAAATGCATATTTGCTTTTGTACTGTACTCATTTCACAAAATAAAATACAGTTTAAACTAAATATCATACAAAAATATTCGATATAACGGAAATTCTAAGAAAAACTTGCAAACTTGGAAACCAAAACTGTATCCCTAAAATCTCTTCGAACAATGTCTTTTATTTATTTCTTCTTAAATACAATTTTGAGGACTTTCTTCTCTCTGTCGAAAATTTGGTTTATTTACAGTATCTAATTCTAAATTTACATTTAAGTTGCGACATGTATTCGTTTTATGTGTCTTTTGTATATTTTATAATGTATAATCTAAAGATAATGATTAACTCCTGGCTGAAAATATGAAAAAACAAATATCCATGGTAGTCCAGATTGGTTAAAAAATATTATAAGTTTGTTTTCCGGAAGATATCCAAAAATTTAGGATCCTTCAAGGATGCTTGAAATTGAAGTATTCCAAGACATATGATCCCGCACAATCAAGTGTCCACATGGCGCCCTGACAAACTCTTGCCTGAGGTATTTCTGACTTCCTCTAATGTCTAACTCACAATAGCCAATAGCACTGCGTACATATAAAATGGGCTTGAATTGAAGTGCCTGAGTAATATTACTTTCTAATCCTGTAACTGTAAGTGAACGGTTGTATAATAGCCGTGTGTTGTTTTTGTGTAAAACTTTAGTTAGAAAAATAACCTCTGGTACCTTCACAAAAGATAGCTGTCACTAACTACTCAAATGCAATCAATTTATTTACATTTTTAACCCCCAAACTACAAAACCACATAAAAAATCACTAGTTTATAACATCGACACCTATCTACCTTGTAAGTGAACTAAATATGCTACCCAGTGTTCCATGGCTGTTAATAACAGTTCAGCTTTTGTCAAGATATTTTTCAATAAATGTTGTTCGTTGTCAGGTATAAGAGATCTGACAAGCTCAAAAATTTGTATATTATCCACTGCAAGTTTTGAGACACATTTGATGCTATAGTGTACAACAATCAAACATCTAAATCAAAGTTATAAACTTTACCGACGCACAGTGTAAAAATTCTAAAGGACAGATGATCTTATTGTAAGTAATCAAAGATGGCTGTTCAGTTTCTTCTGCAAACTTGGCGACTCTTCCTTGATTAACCTGTTTCCCATTAGTTTTGTATTGTATTGTTTTCGACAACAAGAAAAGAATTCACTACCGTGATTTTATTTATCATCCGTCATTCGAAATCAAGATCACTTACTAACTATATTACACACTTAACCCCTGGTGTTTTAAATATTTTGAATGCGTCCCTGCTGCTTTCACATTAGTTGCCTTGTTCTGACAAGAGTTTTGCTGGTTTGTTGATAGATTCAGGGTCATGATAAACGGCTCGTTTCCCAAACACCAGGTGTAAAATGTGCCATCACAGAAGAATGTGTCAGATGCTGCAAGTTCGGCCAGGTTCTGTGATGTAGCGATTGCGATCATCCTGTTGTTCTGTTCACCGTCGTCAAAGAGGAGAAATGCTTGCGGCGAGCACGGTAGAATGTTGTGTAGAATGTTGGCAGTCGCTGGACCACGGCCTTGGAAGTGTCATCCAAGTCGTTGTCTCGGAGTTGGTTGAGCTCCTTCTCAAAGATGGACGGAATGGGTTGGACAGATTCTACGCATTTATTGATGATCTGGTTCATGAACTGTTTGGCTACAACACTGGCTGGGTCTGAGGTGTGGTTGTGTGGATTTCTTACAAAGTTAGCTGGTATGTTGTCTACTGTCGAGAGGGATGCTGAACATCTCCAGAATGTCCTGGTGCCGTTGCTTCGAATCTGTAGATGAATCCAATATGCGAAAGGTTCTGCCTGCCTCTTCTATTGGTGATGAACTTAACGTTGATCTGAGCGTTAGTCATCCTGTACTTGTATCAAACCACACAGATAATAATATCTCTCAAATTAAACACACTTTACACTACGCTGAAAAAAGTACAAGATTAACTTATATATGTGGCAAAGTAAAGTAATAAATCAGGCAATGAGAAAATGATGCTTCAAAGTGCAGATTGAAATATGATAATTTTCCAAAATGTACCGAGCCTTTACAGATTTCTCGTTGAACAGCTTGGGATTGGAACAGTTTTATATTAGATTCCTTTATTTTACAGTTATTAACTGTTTTCTGAAGAGTTATCAGACCTTGATTATCTGATTTACCTGTACAAGTTACCTGTACAACAATTCTGCACCAGACTATAACTCAATATTATCACAACGGACCTCTTATGTAAACATGCTGTTGGTGTTAGGGAAGACCCCGTGTACATGTCCTATGTAAACATGTTGTCATAGGCAGAGTTGGTGTTCAGGGAAGACCCCTGATAAACATCGACCAGCTCAATGTTACATTTTCGTGCACGTTTTGATACTTTTAGCTGTTTTGACGACAGGTTTAGCCGGATACGCGGATAAAGTTACCACTTTTATGACCTATGCTGTCGTACCTCGGTATTTTCTTGTTATCTTTACACACTCCATATAAAAAACAATTGTTCGGAAAGGCATCAATGTGTCCATAATCTAGTGTGAGATTTTATTGTATTAGTATTTGGGACTGTTGATTCCTTGTTTATAATGAGTACCACGTACCCCTCATTACCCTTTAAATTACTATTGGAAGTCATAGCTTGTTCAGTCACTGATGACATTTAGCTTCTTATTCTTGTATTTCTTGCATTCTTATGTATGATATCAATTGGTACCACTGCTTATCAAATGATATGTAGATCCAATTATTTCTGTCCTAGCATTACTCTTACTTCATGTATTCAAATATTGCTTACATGCTTACATTAAGACTATGTAATTTATAACAACTAAATGGAATTTGAATGGATATCCATGACAAAAATGTAAAAGAATGAAAAGAATATATACAAGATACGCTGTGTTAACAAAATATTTTATTTGTAGACAGAAATGATATAAACATTATTTTCCGATGACGCCTTCAGTGTTTCCGCCTCCAAATCCGGCATTGCTCTCTGTCCTGAAATGATTGATACTCTTTTTAGCAATAGATATAATAGTTATAACGTTAACTTTATACAATTACTAGAATTGAAGTTGTGTCATTTATTAATCCTTGACATTACTGGTTACATAAATCAAACAACAAAATAAGAGGGCATTTGGAAGACCTGCAACTGGCTTATAATGACGTGTCTATGATGTTTGAGGTGATGACGTGTCTATGATGTTTGAAGTAATGACGTGTCTATGATGTTTGAAGTAATGACGTGTCTATGATGTTTGAGGTCATGACCTGTTTATGATGTTTGAAGTAATGAAGTGTCTATGATGTTTGAGGTCATGACGTGTCTATGATGTTTGAAGTAATGAAGTGTCTATGATGTTTGAGGTCATGACCTGTTTATGATGTTTGAAGTAATGAAGTGTCTATGATGTTTGAGGTCATGACGTGTCTATGATGTTTGAGGTCTTGACCTGTTTATGATGTTTGAGGTCATGACGTGTCTATGATGTTTGAAGTATTGACGTATTGACCTATCTATGATGTTTGAAGTATTGACCTGTCTATGATGTTTGAAGTATTGACGTGTCTTTGGTGTTTGAAGTAATTGCGTGTCTGTGATGTTTGAAGTATTGACCTGTCTATGATGTTTGAAGTACGTGTCTATGATGTTTAAGGTTATTCCGGTCTAGACCAATATCTCGTTGTCGAGGACATTTGATATTGACGCCGAGGTAATTACCGGGATTTACATCCCAAACTTAAACAACGAAAGCATGAAATCCTTACTCTATTTCACAAAGGAAATTCTGTTTTCTTTCACACGAGTCATCATTCCATTTATATTGCTCATGGTGAAGAACGTCCATACAATCTTCACCACTTCTTCCTAAACTATTAGGCTCTCCTGGATACCATTTACTATAGCCCTGTGATTTGATGGGAGTCCCATCGTCCGCCCATAGCCATTCTCCCTCCACGAGTAAGTCTGTCCCATCAATCCACACGCCATCTGATGCTCCTGAAATTTCATTGTTTTCTTTTTAAAAATTACAGTCTCCGTAAACTGTTTGAATAAATTCTAACTTACACTAACTTGTCCTCAGAAACATGATATAATAATACACCTTCTGCAGTTTATTTATGATTTTTTTAAAGACAAGTCTGTTCCATGAACGAAGTGTAATAATACAAAGTGTATATACGACGTGTCAAAAAATAAGAAAATATTGAAAATATAAGTGTAAAAATAGTGAAAGGTTGTTATTCAAGTGGTGGTATCAGTCACGGAAAAATACTTAAAGATAATAGCTTCATAATACAGCTTACTTCGTTATTCGGCTATGCTGTATCTAATCATACTTTTTATCAAAATATGCGACTCTCTGTTGTGTCCTTTGTACAATTCTTCCAGGGCTTGGTAATTCCAATAAAGAAACAAGGAATTTTTATTTCATTAAAATTTTCCGTCAAAAGATTGAAAAGATTGCTATTTCGGACGCTAAAACACCTTGTTTTGTTGGATTTGTGAATGAATTATTATCTCAAAATGGAAGAATGCTGTAAAACTATAATTTTGCAGGTGTGTTTAAATCAAGGCCATTATGAAATCTGGTATTCCTAATTGTTTCTATATTAACGACACACAGAAAGTGCCATTAAACCTATCATATTAAAGCCTTCTACCGTGGAACTTAAAATTTCACAGGTAAAATGTGACTATATCGTATATGATTATTTATTCCTAACAGGTAAATGCTTTTACCTGGGTGCCATTCCCTTCTCAGTAATCCTTCGATAAATGTCTGTTCTCGCTCCGTCTCGATAACAGCCAATTTACTTTCAAACAGTTCGCAGTAGGTCTGTAAAAACAGAGTTTACTATATGGCAACATCAGTGGAGACGCCGTGTGGACAAACGGTATACCAACACAAGCTTAAACTTTGCAATTTCAGTATATATATAGTGAGACGTGAGCATGTTTTAACCGGACAGGAAAATGTCTACCTTGTCATTTCTGTCTATATTTCAGATCATAACTTTGTTTATACTTGATCAATTACTTTCGTCAAACACTCATTAGAAAGATAAAACATTTTTCTTCAAAGGCAAGGTATATGTCAATACAATCTGCAGAATATAAAAAAATAAAATAAAATTCAAAAATATGTTTACTATTTCCCTCTCTGGAGTTACACACCTTGTCAATGTAGTATATTGATATGGACCGTTTGTTGGGAATTCGTGCCAAATCCATGTGGACTTTACAATCCATTACACCTTACAGATGACAAACATGTACATTTATAGATGAAAGGATGTAGCAATTAACTTCTTATAAAGTTTTAAGATATTCTTACCAATGATTCTGCCCAAGAGGCAAGAACGCTGTTGAAGAATTTGTAGCAGGAATCATCATGACGGACATAACCATTTGGACAATCGCCACGGGCTGAAGGTGAAAAAATACTGAAATAAATACACACATTTCAGGAAAACAACACACGCTACCATTCCATTAATAGTCATAAGATATCAATTGATCACAGGAGGTAGAGAAAATGCAAATACCACAAACCTAAAGCGACAAACATAAACAGCAAACCAGCAAACATTCCGCTAGCCATTTTGTCTGTGAACTCTAACACTGCAGGGATCGAAAGTATTGTAATCTAATGTCTTTGACCTAGAGACAGAAGTATGGTAGCCAGAACATGCCATACCATCTGTATTGAAAAAGGAAACAATATTTTAGATTTAATTTTCAGGTAGCTAATATATTATATTTTATTATATGTATAGTCTCTAAATCATGACATGATATTGCTTAGATTTTACTGAAAATTTTACAAGAACAATTTCACTAGTTCTTCTGATCCCCATTTCGACTCATAATGTCATAATGTTTATATTTTTATTTATCCTGCAACTGACAGTGTCATGGTCGGAATACACCTGCTACATTACTTTTAACAATATTTAACAGTGACGGAAAACAGCTGTATTTAGCACGTGCCGTAATTCGACAGAATTACTCTCAGAATTTACTTGAATATTACGTTTAGAAATCAAAATAGTTGTTTGAATAAGCCACCTTACATGTTGTATTGAACATGTCGATCTATGAAAAAATATAAGAAATCGCTGTTATGTCCGATGAAGTTTTGAACTGTATTTCCATGTGGAGCAATTACTTAGGCCTTTGTCATCAGATAAACACAGATTGAACAACGAAACTGTTTAAGTTTCAATAGTGTGATTTTTCAAGCAATGTTGCATCACGTCGTCTTTCTTCACCCTCGCCAAAATACAGATGTTATTTTTAGTCACTGACCATTCTCTATATATTTCTGTAGTATTCTCTTTTGTTGTTATTGTTAAATATTTTCAGATGACATTTTGTGATGTTGTACAGTTTCAAGAACACTGTTTTTTCTATAAAAAGAATCTTTGATAGAAGTTTTTTTTTCAGATTTTAATATTGAAAAATACATTTTGAAAAAAATATTCTACTTAAATGAGAAATGCATTTGTGGGTGGAATGATTATTTACTGTGTCGTCAACAAATGCATTAACACACATGTACAAATTTACACAATGATTGTGCCTATCTGTTACCATATCGAACTGTTCGGTTTTAAACTTGAGATAAGAATTATCAAGACACTGCCTGGACAAAACATCATCACATCATGTACGTTTCCGGACTGACAGTTTTGTTGGTGTTTAGTTTTGGACAAGGTATGTAACTTATATACCCTATTAAATAACGAGTCAAACTACCTACTACACAACAAAAAGTTTTTGTCATCAAAGTTTTTTTCACCAGCGAGATAAAAAAAGGCTCACAACATGACAGTATGATTTTGAAACAGGAGGTCATCGTAAAAGAAAATGGAAACTTACAGTATCAAAATTGTAATTTTTTTTGTTTTGTTTTTTTGAGAGTGTTAATTAATATTAATATTTTTACGTCGTGTGAACGAATTGTACAGACAAGACGTATGTAAAAGACAGCTATTGGTAATCTGAACGAAAATAAAAACACTAATAAAGTCGTATGGACGAGAAAACAGGCGGATGTACTGTTATCTCAATCAGACAACCTTTATGACGTCAAAAGGACATTTAAACTTAGCTATTAATTTTATTTTCATATTCGGTACTTCTTATCTCGCTCATGCATTTAAGTTTTCTTATCTCCAAACCGAAAGAACGCGTTAACCTTCCAAATCAACTCGTACTAGACAATTAACCATCAGACCAATATGAGAAATTATCAATCATCAAATAACAAATACCTAGTAAGCGACAGTAAAGAAATGAATTAAATTTGAATTTTGAATTAAAGATTTGAAATCTTCATACTTTATCAAAGTTATTCAGACACATGCTGTCTTAATAGTAAAATTCCATAAGCAATTCCATAACATTCAGATAGTGCTGGTAAAGGTAAGGGAGGCAACCTTTAAATATCTTACTTACCCAATACAGTGTGATATTTAATCCTAGTGACTGCGGACTGTCCTGATGGTTTCGTCGCCCATGATACATCCTGCTACCTTTTCTCCATCCTGCGGGTTTCCTGGATTCAAGCAATGGTAACATGGTCGAACTACAGTATCGCAAGCAAAACATGGATTCTGGTTTTCTAAAACTCAGTAGTTGACAGTGTACTTCTATTCTGTTAAAAATATATATTTGTTAAGTTAAATGCTATTTTTCCAGATTGAAAAAGATAGCAATAAGAATATACATGTCTTCAAAAAATCAGTCTTATTTGACATTTATAGCTGTTATGAATGACAGAAGAAAAGATCATATTGTGAGAAAGCAATATGGTATGTTTGTCACCACATCAGTTCATATAACGATTATAAAATCCTACTACAATAAAATATTGTTATATTTACGTGTTTAACAGTTTTTCTATTTGTTTCTATACATTAATTTAAATTAAAACTGAAATGATTTCTTAATATCCGGCTGCACGATTAATCGTGTTCTACGGCTATTTTAATCGTGTGTCATTGCCGTTACTATGACTACAGTTTTGACGTCATGTTGGTCACACGAGTAATTGTATTTACATTAGTGTTCGGTATTATAAAGAATATGTTATTCAGATGTTGATATTCTGAAGGGAATTCGTTATGGACATCATCTGGTAATTAACAGAAAATATGTGCCGTACATGGGGGTGAGCTAGCAACGGTAGAGAGTGCAGAAGAAGAACTGTTTCTAGAGTCTTACCTAAAAACCACCTGGGTCAGTTGTAAGTCATTTTCATCCATCAAAACCTTCTGTTGTAATAGGGAAACACAAAAAATCTTTTGCCGGTTATGTTTTCAACATAACATACTACCATACGTCGATTGTCAGCACGATATAAATTTGGATTTCGTATTAATATCAGTGCTTGACATGACCATGATCATTTTGTTTGTTACCGCCATGATAAACATTCATCTCTTCATATTTTAATCGGAAATATCATTGCAATGTACACAACGTAAGTTGCGTTTAGTTGCAACTCTTCTCTGTTAAACATAAACAGTCAGCCTTTTTAATAGCAATTATTCCTTTGTTTCAGACAATCATACAGATGGAATTTGGCTTGGGGGAACAGATCTGTTAGTTGAAAACGAGTGGATGTGGGCAGTGTCCAAGGAACCGATTACTGATTACGTCCGTTGGGCTCCAGGAGAGCCAAACTCTATAAATCGACACGGGGAGGACTGCTTGGATTTTCTGCCACACAAAAGCTTCCTGTGGAATGATGAAAACTGTGCGTCACAACTCAACTTCGTTTGCGAACGCAGGTAAGACCTCACATGTGTTTCTTTCTCAAACACGTCTCAAATACTTGTGCTTGTCGCCGGTATGGTAAAGGTTTATAATGAATTATTGTTCTGCAGTCAACATGTGGTAGCAGTTTTCTAGAAATGTACTTTGTCTCATCTTTAATCGCACTTGATATCAATGAAAATGATGGATGAAATGAACCTTCAATTCAGGTATGATAAAAACAGCTATTTTCCTCATGAAGATCATCAAATTATGTTCAGAGTCATAAAGCCGACTCTATCGTTAGCGAAATCTAATAAGGTAACATACAAATGGTACATCTTCTATTTGTTTATCTATTCAAGGTGTATCTATTTTTTATGTAAAAAATCTTTCATGGAATTATAGTTCTGTACTCCTATGAATGTCCTAATATTGGCACACTATCACGCTTTCCATACTTTTTTAACTACATTATGAGGAATTTTAGACGTACAACCAACATTTTATATACAAATGATATGGGCACTTTGACCTAATGGACATATTCAAACCCGTCTCGAGAATGTCAATAAAGTTGGCTTCCATCCCGGAGCGGGGGCGAGTAAAACAAGTTACAGGGTCCCACAACAAACTGAGACACGTCAAAATGGTTGGGAAGAAAACCAAGAAGAAATATCTTGGATAAATGAATAGAACTAATTTTTATACTTATAAAAGCATTATATTGTTTTATCCTGCGACTGACACTGCCAGTTTCGGAATACACCTGCCTCATATGTTTTAGATGTATTCGGCAGTGACGGAAATCAACTGTTTTTTAGCACGTGTGGTAATTCGACAGAGTTACTCCGTGAATTCACTTAATATTATGTTTAGAAATACAAATAGTTATCAAAATAAAAGATTTTAAATGGTGTGATGAAAAAGTTGATATATGAAAATTTATCAAATCGTTGTTATATGCTATGACGTTTGGAACCATGTTTCCGCGCGGAGAAATGTATTTTGGCGTCCGTCATCAGGAAAAATTAAGCGTAACGTCAATGTTAGGTAAACACATATTGAACAGCAAAACTGTTTAAATTTCAATAGTCTGATTTTCAATTAATGTTGCAGGATAAATAGAATACATGGTCAGTGTCTTAAAATATAAGCTGCATGTAGGTTTGGAACAGAAATACCAAATACAGCTAATACTTTAACACACTGACCATGTATTCTCTATTTTGTATGTCATATTTATGTACATTTTGACAACCGAAAAGCCTTCCTTCAGTTTTGCTACAGTCGTAAGTAACCACTGTTATGAATTTTGTTTCAGTCTGGTGGATGGGTACGTACCGCCCAGTATATTAGGGTAACTGGATTACCATATCGTCTCCAAACACCTATATCAAGAAGTGCAAAATACAAGTCAATGTGTCAAAGGTCTTTAAACAATCACATTTCGTTTTACTGGTAAATGTAAATCTCTAACGTTGTTTTGTTTTTAATGATTGGTATCGGAAGAATTTCGAAAGAGATTCTCAACCATATTACGACATTTTGGGCCTGGGATTCTTTTCTGTCTATTGGCGTTGCAGTGTCACTCTTTGCAAATTCCTTGTTAATCTTCTATTTTGTTATAAGACCAGGTCATGTCAATATTATGACAATGCAATGTCACACTCATAGTAACATATATGGACATCTTCAGCGATATGGTCTTGTGACGGTGAGACTGAAGTCTATAACAGCAAGATACTATTGACATGTAAATACAATCTTAATTCAAAATCATTAAAACAAGTGGGCAAAAATATGAACACAATAAAAAATTGTCCTCAAACTCGTGAATCTGGGTCCATGCCTGAAGAAAATGTTAATACATAATAAATGTCTTTTCATAAAAATGAACAAGAGTCGATCAAAAGACCAAGTAAGGTATGTTTTGTCGATCTTTAAAACAAGAGATTTCACTCAAACGTTTGATAAATATACAGCTTTTAAATATTGAAATCTCAATTCTGGGTGAAAAAGAGAATATGATGGATTTCCCAATTAGTGATGATTCCCTCAATTGTTTCTTGCTGGAAACGTTACTTTATAAATATATATACCTGAAAAAACATTGTTGCTTTACAATTTAGTCTATCCAATGAAAAGTAAGATAAATTCTTCTTTGTTATACAGTCATTAACATATGTCAGACGGTGGGATATACAGTTTAGTGGAATTAATGTAAGACAAATACACAGTGAATAGCACTGATAATTAATGGTATATCTATCGTAAAAATTGCATGAAAATAAGATATCTATCGTTCCATAAATGTTTATTGTATGCATTAAATGAAATAATAATGGCCATAACTAAACTATTTTCTAGTAAGTTAGTCTCTTAAACGACAAATCCAAACATATAGATGTGCCATTATAAATATGAATTCATGTTCTTATACTTCCTTTAAATTCCATGAGTTTTTATTGCAAACTTGGAGATTTTGATGATGGGTGAATAACATAAAAGCAAAATTGCCGCCTTGCGGTAAGTTCTCATTACGAAAAAGACATTGATTATCATATATTGACCCGAGAATATTCTAAAGCATACTTAGAATGGTCCTATTCATAAATCAACCGGAGTCAGACTGTTAGCTAACTATGCTGATCTTTAATGATCTGACATACACAGCAGCACAAAATTCTATTCCTAAAATGTCTCACAGACCACGCACATCTTTACCACATGCATGGCACTATAATCTGAATAACGACACAGCTTATAAATAAACTAGAAACAAGTTTCCTGTTATGCTGGCAGGTGTAACATGTTTTCATATCAGCTTTCGTTCTTGCACCTCAACTTGAAATGTCCACATCCAATACTTAATGAAACACGCTAGAATATAGCATTGCTATAGTATTTTTGCTTTGTGCTTCATATTGCAGAAAGTTTCTTCTCTTCATTGTAACTTTAAGGTTCATTAGTGTCGGTATAACAAACGGCAGTCGTGATAGGGGGTTTTACATGATCATATGTTGTATCAGATTTTTTTTAAAGATGGCTTCACATCCTTTAAGCGCCTATTTAATTCTGGACTCCACCATATTTTTATTGAGAAACAAAGCCACAAGTCATTCAATACTTCCATGTTGCTAATCCAATCGTTTTGTCAGGATTATCAATCGATAGGAACACAGACCAGTGTATAAGGACGTGGACAGCGATAGGCTCCGTCTTCCGCTTCCGTCGATGGCACTCTGTTAACTTCCGGGTTCAGTTTGAATTTTCTTAATATACTGGCAAATAATACGTACAATGTTTTGTCAGCTTGTGCAGAGAAAGGGCAACATCTGGATCCTGAAAGAAGAACAAAATATCATAACGAAAAAGACCATCCCATCTCGTATTTCGGAACATTTTTACAAGCTGGTAATGTCAATAGAATATGATATATCATAACACAACCATTAGAAGATTTAAATGTGACGTTTCAATGACTACAAGATTAGCTTCATCAAACAAAGGGTCCATTGTGAAGAGTACCAGCATTGACCCACGTAGTGTGCGAGAAGGTAAGGAACTGACCATTAATGCGTAGCCGAATTGACTACAGTACATTTTTACTATCGTGTGTATTGTTTGGTCTATAATCTGTTTACCATCTCGTCGCACTATTTTTGACCTTAATCGTACATAGGATTATAGTACAGCCTAAAACGTTGGTCATGTGACACTTAAATCTTCTACTGGTTGTGTTATAAGAACTTGTATTATATTACATCTCATTTTGATTTCTGCTCCGTAAAACAGAATACGCAATACGCTCTTGTCTTCATACATAAAAAATCAGCAGACGGTTTACACACAATATTCTTGTTTTGGTTAGTTGTTTACTGACTGCTTGTAACGGAGATCTAATGTTAGAATGCTGTACGACAAAAAATTATAAAGAGATTGTCGAATATTCGGCTGAAAGATCAAAACCATTTCAAGGTATTGTGTGACCTTATGGTCGGTTAGTATAACATAAAACATTTAGATGTAGTAGAAATGTCATATTTAACTGGGTATTGAAGAGTTCATGTGAGGTTTATTTTGTATTACCAAGGCCATAGGGAAAGAAGTCGTCATGGTTGGTGAGTTGACTGTTAGAATCTAAGAAGTGTTCCGGTCGGAACTCCGTCGGCCGTTTCCAGTAAGATGTGTCCATGTGCGACGAATAGAGATGAAATAGAACCATATATCCACTGGGTATTTTGTACCCTCCCAATTCTACGTCCTCGTTAGTGGTGTGAGGAATACTGAGGGGTACTGCCAAATACAGATCAATGTTAATCACATAATGATATATCTGCTGTACAGTATACACTTCTACTTGTCTGTTAACACATTTTTCATTTTTTCTGTTTTATTGACACATCTGAACTGGTCTGTATGATACAGCAATATGATATTTTTATTACTTATACAAGTAAACGTCAATGCAATCTGACAAAATCTTATACCACGTCAACACAAAATCTAAAACGAGATCTGATAGGTCCAATAAAAACGCATGGATATACATGATGACGTATCAAATCTAGGAAAATATGTAGGTAATGAGCTGAGACAGCATCAAGTCTTTAATAGTACTGGAAACAAGACAGAGCAATTTTTGTAATGGAAAATATTACTATCTTTCTGTATTCGAAGAAACATTTGTTCTGAAATGCCTTGAAGTAGCGTTATTGTTTCCGGAGCATTTGTAAAAACCTACAGACGTTGCTGATGCGTTGAACCTCTCGAAGTGTCGCCATGACGAATGGAACCTGGTCGCGATCCTCCCATGTCAGATCTCGGGTTTTAGACACCTGTTTATAAACATCAAAATGAAAACATGACAGGACCTAACATTTCACAATTGACATAATAATTCATGTTAATTTGTATGGCGTTCGATATTAGAAAACATATCAAGGAAATCCATAAAACTGTACCAAAAGGACATGCAGTGATTAACACCACTAGGTTATATGTATATTGAAGAGTGGGTGATATTGCATCACCCAATTGGTTCTTCTTTTACTCTTCAAGAAATTCGAACGAAAGGAAATCATTATAGATTGTTAAAACAAATGAAAAATAGAAAAAAATAGTTTATTGAAATGCAAGAATACTAACTATACATCTGTATATGTAATATGTAGCTATGGTAGATTATATCACCTGATGAACAATCGGAAGTTAACAAAGAAATAGGTGAAATAACATTGAAAGGCAATAACACTTGGCATTGTCTGTTTGTATTATTTTATTATGTACAAACATATAGGATTTCGTTATATCTTTTGGGATCCAACTAGTATTACATCAAAGGGTGTCCGTTGTATGTTTTCGATAGAAATAGAAAGGTTGGTATCATTTTGTGTAAAACATGTTTATATCTGAATACAGATGCCTAAGTGAATATAAAGATAGTATCTGTTCATGTCTCAAATACCTTGTGAATATCATGCCTGCACATCGTCTGTACTTCTGGATAGCGAACCATGTATAAAAGTGACCAAAGAAGAGTGTTAACCGTCGGCTCCAGCCCTCCAACCATCACGTCCACCAATGTCTGTATTAGGGTGTCGTCTAGTGATGAAAGTTGAAGAATGATGAACATGTAATTTTTTTTGTGATTGAAATTAAACTACATTTAACATCTAACGACTTTAGTCAAAGGAAATTAGAATAGGAATCTTCAAACAAGGCTTTATGACTTTCATAATTTTATGTGAATATACATTTCTTTTCAGTCTGAATTGTCAGCTTTTTAACAGTCTAAAACGTTTGTTCATAGCACAAGCCACGTAGTGTTATTAGGTAGGTATGCGATAAATTGTTGACTTTAGTTAACATTTTTATGTACCATTCTGTCGTATGTCCTTTTTTCAGATATTTTTTCCAGGCTATGGATGGTGTCAAACTTTACAATTACATCGGATTTTGTTTCTTAGAATTAGAATTGGTATCGATTACAGCATCAAAGTTAGTGAGTCCTTCATAGAAAAGAAACACAGATCGAAGCCTCGTTTTACAGTTTTAATAACAATTCATTGGTAAAGAGTTTTGAAAATCCCCCGATAACCCAACGGGATTGAAAGTAAATAAAAGGACCTGTACCAGATAGGATAGGGTCTCCTTTGCGATCAAGATTCGATTTTAGCCAGAAATCAACGAAATGACGTAGGTCCGTAGCCATGAAAGTATCCTTCTCCTTGACCAACGCTTTAGCCAGGAACGATTTCAGCTGGACATTGGAGGCCGTCATAGAGTGTAACTGGCGAAAAGCAAATACATTAACGCGTATATTTATTAATGAATCAAGGCCGAACTCCACATTTAAAAAAACTAATGATATTGTGAAAGTGAAATTTGATTTGAAATATTGATTATCAAACATGATTTCACAGTAAGAAAAAAAAAAAAGGCTTTGCATTCACATATCATCTGATGAATGATTTATGAAACTACGATTATTGAGGACAAAACAGGTACTTTGTGCCCTCAGAATGTGGTTTGGCACTGAAATTCAATGATTATGGTTAAACTTACGTTAGAGGAGGACATAAACAGGCTGGCCAGTGGAAGATAATTGTGGGGTAGCTTTAAAGGCGAAATGTTGCATACAGACTTCAAAGAATTGAGTAACCCCCTTCCTTCCTCCTTATCAGTGTCAAATCTCAAAAGAAAAGAAAAACATTTAAATATACAAAGCAAACCCCCTTTATATAATCCCATGCAATACTATTCTTGTTTCTACAGTATCGTTGTGTTTGTTTATTTCGAGCCCAATGCTCCGAAACAATGAAACAACCCACTACTAAGTCTAACATGAGCAGAAACAGAATGACATGTATGATAGCAGTCTCTGGCAAGGCATTATCACTTCATGGAGTTTAAAAAATAACTATTTTCGTGCGAACAATGAACAGAGACAGATAGACAGATAAAGCGTAGATAACTATTAGCGAATTCCACTGAACAAGAAGGCAACACACAACGGCATTCTAATATGCTGCATGATAATTACGGAATCCAAGGTTTAGGACGGACTTCAACTGCAGCTGCCGGGTGACCCGTTACTTGAGGCTTCTACTGTAGCATTTATATTGATTTTAATAATCATTATCATAACTGACATCGAATTATTCACGGATATGTTAAACTTCAAACTACTGTAAACTTTTTACATTTTGTTAGGCAGATTTTTTATCACACAGTTATTCAACGTATTCGGGAAATGCGACAAAATACATGTATAGACATGTACGTAAAGGGAGGTTAGTTTGTTTGTCAAGACAACAAAAGGAAAAAAAATCAAATCTGAATTGTTTTCATAGACGGAAGCCATTTTATAAAGAGGTAGACTCAATGAGAATGGACAGTTGCCATACAGACCTGTATAGACAGGTGACCTGGAAGGCGAATACATAACTTATAAAACAGTTTAAGACGGGGATGGTGAATATAGACAGTTAGATGCGTTAACATTACCTATAGGCCGATGAACTCAAAGACACTACGGTTAGATATCTCAGGTACATACTTTACCAAAAGATGTTAAGAACAAACGTATCATAAAAAAGAAAGACAAAAATCGTCTCGTGGATTCTTCTTATACAAATGGCCACTATGGACAAATGGGCTCGTAGAAACTTCATGTACAAATGGAAAAATAATGTTTTGCAGGCAGTTGATATGCCAATTGACACTTTAGATAGGATGTCTCTTTATACATTAGTGGACACTCCTGATAGATAACCTCGTTCACATTTCTTATATAATCGAACATTTTGGATAGATGGTTTAGTAGACATTTCCTATACAAATGAACGCATAAGACAGGTCGTCTTGTAAATAAATCTTATTCAAATGGACACTTTTGACATCTCGTAGACACTAAAACAAACTGAGACTTCAGAACGCTGGTCTCATAGAGAGAAATCGATACTTTAATAAGATTATCTCGTAGACATTTCATTAACAATTGGAAATTTTAGCCATTGCTTTCGTTCACGCTTCATATAAAGAAGGACACTGGCGGATGGTCTTGTAGACACATACAAATGTATCATTTAAACATATTGTCTCGTAGATACGCCTTTAGACAGATGATCTCAGAGACACATACAAATGTACCATTTAAACAAATGGTCTCGTAGATACGCCTTTAGAAAGATGATCTCGGAGACACATAAAAATGTACCATTTAAACAATGGTCTCGAAGATACGCCTTTAGACAGATGATCTCGGAGACATACAAATGTACCATTTAAACAAATGGTCTCGTAGTTACGCCTTTAGACAGATGATCTCGGAGACACATACAAATGTACCATTTAAACAATGGTCTCGTAGTTACGCCTTTAGACAGATGATCTCGGAGACACATACAAATGTACCATTTAAACAATGGTCTCGAAGATACGCCTGTAGACAGATGCTCTCGGAGACACATACAAATATACTCGTTTAAGCAATGGTCTCGTAGTTACGCCTTTAGACAGATGCTCTCGGAGACACATACAAATATACTCGTTTAAGCAATGGTCTCGTAGTTACGCCTTTAGACAGATGATCTCGGAGACACAATCAAATGTACCATTTAAACAATGGTCTCGAAGATACGCCTGTAGACAGATGCTCTCGGAGACACATACAAATGTACCATTTAAACAAATGGTCTCGTAGTTACGCCTTTAGACAGATGGTATTATAGACATTTCGAGTAAAAATGAACACTTAAGTAGATGGTCTCATCGTCACTCCATTAGACAAATAAACATTTTATACATAATTTCGAACACAAACACTTGGACACATGAAATAAACGCAGATGACCTCATAGCTATTTATAAACAAATGGACAAATATTTCGTAGACTCTTCATATGTAAATAGACACTTTAATCAGACGGTGTCGTAGATACTTCTTTGAGGCAGATAACGTCACAGAATTTTTTATAGACATGCATACCGTAGACAAAATTATTCGTCGACACTTTATATACAAGTTAACATTTTAAACAGAGTATCTCGCGGAAACAAATAAGCACTTCATATACGGCATTTAAGGTCACTTTTAGACAGATGGTGTCTTGTTAATCGGTGTCCTCTTGGACATTTGACGGCATTACAGACACTTTATAAAAATGTCTTATGTTGTAAATGTGATCTAAACTGATGTGATAGGCACTCTATGTATATGTATTATACACATCTTAACACACATTCAAATAGATATACATGTTTGATGGAGAATACACATATGTACCTGGTCTGTTCTCTATCCTGATAGTCGGAGTGTCTTGTGTGGACGGTTATTAGTAATACAAGACGATGTAACATGTTCTGTTTGAAGCATGCAAGATAACAGCATCTTCCAAATAAATGTCACAGCTATTATTATCACGTGCTTGTTACCTGGTTAGTGTTAACCCCTTTGTTTACCATGACAACGCATTTTTTTAAAAAAAGATATGCTGGGCTTTATGTGATAATCTGTTTGCTTTCCTCACAAGCTTCAAACACCACCACATATTCTATCTAAGTAATTCGAATATCCTACAGCTGATCAACAATAACAAGTTACCAACATGTCAACATAATCATAATCCAAACCCAAACAGCTTCGTTGGCAAAAATATGAACAAAAGAAATGTCAACCAGGGGACTCATGAAAAAGGACAAGGTGTTCCAGAAAAGAAAGCGTCTTTTGCTTCAACGCTGACACCCGCCATTAAAACCCTTGTCAGTCAAAGTAAGTTATGTCACGTTTACAAATAAGAGCAAACTATTCAAAAACGGGATCATTAGGGAAACTGAGGAGCATCAAACACAGAATCATTTCGCGCATAGAAATGGATATATTCAGAACTGTTATTAAAACCATTGGGTCGCTTTTGACATAAATTTAAAAAAAAAAAAAACAAAAAACAAAAAAACAAAAAAAAAAAAAAAAAAAAAAAAAAAAAAAAAAAAAAAAAAAAAAAAAAAAAAAAAAAAAAAAAAACAAAAAAAAAAAAAAAAAACAAACAAAAAAAACCCCACACATATTTGAAATATCTACTGTACTTGTGTGTATGCATTTTTGTCTTAATTTTTCATTACGGTGCGTTGCCAGGTAACATCTTTTCAAATAACCATGTTACTTGTATGTTTCACTCCATATGTCTGAGGGATTCTATAGCACAGATCTTTAGAACTTGTATGTTTTGATAAATACATATCATTGATTACGCTCATAGTATAGATGATAACATGCCGTCTTACCTTTGACCTAACAGAAATCCACACAAGATGTTGAGGACAGCTTTGGTGAGGATAGCCCTAGGGTTGAGTGGAATGCATTTCTCCGCGTATAATTCAGTGGCAAGGTTCTTGGCCTCTTCATGAATAACATCCTCAAAGCCACCTCGTCCAAGCCACGGGTGTCTCACAGACATATCGATAAGATTGTGAACTTTGGTCCATTGGTCACCGTCACTCCACAACAATCCTAAACGTTAACCAGGAATAACAAAACATGTTATCGTCACTCCATTGCAACCCTAAACGTTAACCAAAAATATTAACATGATCAGCCTAATTAACATTATTGTCAACTTCATTCCATAGCAACCTTACTGGTGAAATAATACAATGTTGTTTACTGGTAAAGTAATACAGAGTTGTTTACTTGTGAAGTAATACAATGTTTTTTTTCTGTTGAAATAATACAATGTTGTTTATTGGTGAAGTAATACAATGTTGTTTACTGTTGAAGTAAAGCAATGGTGTTTGCTGTTGAAGTGGTACAATTTTGTTTACTGGTGAAGTAATACAATGTTGTTTACTTGTGAAGTAATACAAAGTTGTTTGTTGTTGAAGTAAAGCAATGGTGTTTACTTGTGAAGTAATACAATGTTGTTTACTGGTGAAGTAATACAATGTTGTTTATTGGTGAAGTAATACAATGTTGTTTACTGTTGAAGTGATACAATGTTGTTTAGTGTTGAAGTAAAGCAATGGTGTTTGATGTTGAAGTGGTACAATTTTGTTTGCTGGTGAAGTAATACAATGTTGTTTACTTGTGAAGTAATACAATGTTGTTTACTTGTGAAGTAATACAATGTTGTTTACTGTTGAAGTGATACAAAGCTGTTTACTGATGACATAATGGAATATAGTTTACTGGTGACGAAATACAACGTTGTTTACTGGTGAAGTAATACAAAGTTGTTTGTTGTTGAAGTGGTACAATTTTGTTTGCTGGTGAAGTAATACAATGTTGTTTACTGGTGAAGTAATACAATGTTTTTTACTGTTGAAATAATACAATGTTGTTTACTTGTGAAGTAATACAATGTTGTTTACTGTTGAAGTGATACAATGCTGTTTACTGATGACATAATGAAATATAGTTTACTGGTGACGAAATACAACGTTGTTTACTGGTGAAGTAATACAAAGTTGTTTGTTATTGAAGTGGTACAATTTTGTTTGCTGGTGAAGTAATACAATGTTGTTTACTTGTGAAGTAATACAATGTTGTTTACTTGTGAAGTAATACAATGTTGTTTACTGTTGAAGTGATACAATGCTGTTTACTGATGACATAATGAAATATAGTTTACTGGTGACGAAATACAACGTTATTTACTGGTGAAGTAATACAAAGTTGTTTGTTGTTGAAGTGGTACAATTTTGTTTGCTGGTGAAGTAATACAATGTTGTTTACTGGTGAAGTAATACAATGTTGCTTACTGCTGAAATGATACAAAGTTGTTTTCTAGTGAAGTAAGACAATGCTGTGTACTTGTTAATTAATATAATACTATATTTTATTATCAATATATAATCATGTTCATCGCTGTTCGTAACAGCTATTAGATTTAAACAGTATGATCACCGTTAATCCATAGTAACCTTGTGCCTGTCTTTCTGAAACTTTTGAGATTTTATATCTTACAGAATCTCCATAGAATATAAACGTTAAATTCTGTATATATAATTACATATGAAATATCACAAACAATATTGTTCGTTTTGTTGGTGTTGTATCAAAAGGACTGGCACAATAGGTTGTTCCATGTCGGTAGATTTTATGCCTACAAAACTGAATTTTTTCGTTACCGTTGTGTACGTAAACTTTGTAACGGATACCAAAGGGAAACATATGATAATCGTTGAATCGATTCCCGCGATGAAATTTCAGACCGCATTTACTATAAATCTATTCAAGCACCAAGGAAGACTAGCATTTTGAAGCAAAATTCCTAGGAGTCGAATCAATTTTTCTGAATTTAAGAAACGAAACCCACCTGCAATAATGTTACGATCAAATGATTCAAATCTACCCAGGCATTAAGAAGAAATAGCATTTTGCGGCAAATTGTTGTCTTACTTCCCCTTTTTGAGCCCCGTCCTTAAGTCTCTTGGGTCGAATAAACTTTTTGAGTTGAAGAAATGTTTCACCACTGTCAGTAATATTTCAGACCAATAGTATGAAATTCATTCAAGAATTAAGCGAAAGTACCATTTTGAAGCAAACTATAGACTAACTTCCCCATTTTGGGTCCCATCCCCTGGTCCCTAAGGGTCAAATCAACCATCTAAATCTAAGGAATGATAATCCACCTGCAATAATATTTACTCGCAGTTTGGTTGAAATCTACCCAGGCATTGAGAAGGAGTAGCGTTTTCAAGCATAACATTGTCTAATTTCTCCTTTTGGGGCCCAACACCCCAGTCCCTAAAGGTCGATTCAAATTCCTAAATGTAGGAAATAATTGCCTACCCAATCTAATAACTCAAGCCAAAGCTTGTTGAAATCCACCCCGGCAGAAACGAGGAGTAGGGTTTTAAATATAATTTCAACATCTCCCATTTCGGGACCACGTCCCTCGACCCCGAGGGATCAAATTAGCATTCTGTATTTAAGAAATAAATCTCACCCAACGATGCATTAGACTAAATTTGGTTGAAATCCACAAAGGTATGATAGAGAGAAGTAGGGTTTTAAAAAAAAAAATACACAAGATGCACAACGCACGGCGAATGGTGCACGGTGACGGACGAAGCACAATGGCTGTAGGTCATCTGACCAGAAGAGTCATGATGACCTAAAGCCACCTTCAGGTCAGATGACCTAAAACCTGTAAGAACTAGTATTAACATCTATGTATTATGTTTAGGTTTTCAAGAGATAATAACAATTGAACTTGTCTGTTATAAGATAACCCGAGTTCAGTTGTACTTATACCCGATTGCACAAAAACCTTAGATAAATACCACAATAACCTCAAATAAATATCACAATAACCTCAAATAAATATAACAATAACCTCAAATAAATATCACAATAACCTCAAATAAATATAACAATAACCTCAAATAAATATCACAATAACCTCAAATAAATATCACAATAACCTCAAATAAATATCACAATAACCTCAAATAAATACCACAATAACCTCAAATAAATATAACAATAACCCCACGTATTATATAATAACTAAAGCGTCTATTAAAAATATAACATTCTCAAATAAATATCACAATTAATAAATAAATACCTCAATATAAAATATCACAATCTCCTCAAATAAATATCACAATAACTTCAAATAAATATAACAATAACCTCAAATAAATAAAACAATAACCTCAAATAAATATCACAATAACAGAAACTATACTAAATTAGTGGATACATATAACGTTTTCAACATCATCCCGCCACATACTATAAGTAAACAGCATAAACACCTTTATCGTGTAATAACGTTAAACAGAGGTAATATTAACATCTAAAACTAATTTGCTAAACACCTACACGAAACATTTTCAAGCAAAACTTTACTACTTTACAACATCACTAAACATGGCAAGTACATAGAAATCAATGCAGTCACCTTATAAAAACTTAATGATACAAACTCAGATAAACCAACTGAAAGTTAAAAAAGGGGGATACGGTCTTTGGCAACTAAATGCATAGTAAACCCAAGAACAGGAACTGCAATCCTTGGGATTAGTTTGGAGTCAACCCTGTTTTCATATCGTTCCGTCTCATATATGCATGTGCATACGTACGTACATAACTGGTAACCTCGGTTTTCGTACCATATTTGAATACAGTGAAACTGATTCTATTTTATTTTAAAGAGAACTTCGCTATTAAGTCAGCCAGGCTGTTTTTATATCTAAAGCTTTATCATACAACTTCCTAAAATAAGCAGAATGATCCAATTTTGTCGTGTTGCAATACGAAACAAAGTAGCAATATAATGCAAAATTCTTACCTCTGTGACTAGAACATCTCCTTATCCCAAGCAGCCAATTAGGTCGGTATTGAAACTTGTCCCCCTTCTGTACCAGTGCTTCTCGAACCAAATCGTGTCCCAGAACAACAACAGCGTTAGAGGTTCCGAGCGTCAAACGGAAAACATTTCCGTACTGTTTACGGAGTAGGAATAGTTTTCGGTAGAGAAAATTTCCATTGCCGACAATATGGAGGTTCCCTATGATCGGTATTGAGAAAGGACCTGGCGGTAGATGTCGCCTCGATATTATCAGGTATACAAGGGAGCCAATAAACAGCAAAAGGATTCCGATGTTGAAGGGTGTGAAAATGTCGTGTAAATCAGTACCACTTACTGCATCTCTCAAAAACTTACGAGCCATGATATACGTTGTTTAAAGTACAGCTTTTAAATGTTATATTTATCTTCCGGCATAATTCTAACTCGCAAGGTCCCCACGAAAGTGATTCTTTTCGATGGCTAGTTCTTAACAAAGTTGTAATTCTGAGAGCGGGCTACTGGAGGACTGTTTACTGTTACTGAAACCAATGACGTAATAAGCGTCTCTAACGATATCCGGAACCAGGTGCCAATATTACACAGACCATGCCGCCAGCTCATTAAGCATCGGACAAAGATCGTCCTGTATACTGTTGGCCAAAAATAACCGCAATGTATATAAAGAGTTGATAATGAAATAACTTTTGTGGGGTTTTTTTTAGTTACATTAAGATTGTAACAGAGCTCTCAGGATACCGTAACCCTAATGTGTTAACAGAAAGTCTCGGTGTGAAGGTGCTGATTTAAACAATGTTTAGTCTCATAAAAGAACATGCACATGACGAGTATTAATAATATTTAAATCTACAAGAATTTCTAACTTGTATGTTATGAGTGATATTATATCGATGTTGTGGATAGAGGCAAGACGCACTGAAAGAAATTAATACTTAGCGCACATGCATTAAAATCCTACACTTCATAAATATGCTGCTTCATATCTGTGTAACATATGGTTTTTATTTACATACACTTGTGTTAAGTATACTGATTACCAGCCATGTATTTTGTAAAACACGATGCTTTGTTTACTGTCGTCTTTGACCAGACCATTTTACTTATTTTAGGAAAATGAAAAAAAAAAAAAAAAAATGGCCTCTACATCCGGTTTTGTCTATCATTTTTCAAAAGTAAGACACTTGTTCAAGAGCCCTTTCTCTGACAGAGTCTTCGTTCAAACATGTTTCATGGTCATCAGACAAGAATGGTAATTATCATTTAAAAAAAAATCATGACTGGTTAATCCTATCTATCGTTTTTCATTTACTAAGGTTTGTCGTGAAAAAGAAAATAATTTGAGCATTTAAAAAAAGAATGTACATTAAGTGTAAATATAGAATCTATAGAAAGAAAATGGGATCTTGTGTATGGTACACACAGGATCAATACTGTTTGTGAAACACGTTAGTGAAGGTAATGCTTCCGCCAGGATTCGAACTCAAGACCTCTTGCTTACTAGTCCGACGATCAAAGACGATCGAGATAACAAGAAGTTCTTTCTAGCAGAGCAGTATTTCTCCAGTAAATAACTCGTCCTCCAGTTTCCCTGTGTTACAGCAATGCTTTTGAAAGTTTCGCAAAGTATTAACCTGAAACCCTACATGGGCGCTGCACAGCTTCCGCTAGAATAAGAACCCGGGACTTTCATTCTCGATACTCCAAGGTTTACGAACACTTTCGCTCTCTGCAGCCCCTGGAACCTGTCATGGCAAAATTGAAGGCACAAGCAGAATAATTTGATTGGTTCCAAGAGAAAAAGAAAAAAAAAAAACCTGACCAATCACAGGCTGGACCTTCAATTTTGCAATGACAAGTGCCAGTGGTGCAGAGAACGAAAGTGTGAGATATATTAACCGAATATTAAATGAAACAGAAACGAAGGTAAGGTTATAATGATCGCAAAAACATAGATATTTCGCAAACATTTGTAAAAACAGCAATGGAATAGAGGGAGATGAAATCTAAATTATTTACTCCACATAGAGGTGTCACCATAGAAACAATTGGAATTTAAGCCAATCAGCGTTCTGGTATAGATAATAAATGGTTAAATGACCTTGCGGTCGACAAGGTTTGAACAGATATGATTCTCACCTTCATGGATCTAGATATATTTTCATAATCTTTCATACAATAGTTAAATAAAAACTAATTCAAGATTCTTCACTTTAATCTAGTTACCGTTATATATGGAAAACTATCATAAGGGATAAAGAGTTGCGAATATCGCGCTACATTTGAAGGATAATATGTAATGTTGAAATAGTTTTGTTTAACTTAAAATAACAATACAAACTCGTTTTAAAATTAATTGAATTCTTTCTCACAGATCGTTTCTTTAATTCTTCTCAACAAGTATCTGGTAAAAAAGATAAAAAATTAAAACTGGCTAAAAAAACGTTATAATATTCTTGTACTTTTTTTGTATTTTGTGATTGATGTACACAATTGTTTGGTACACATAAAATAATTTGTCTTTTATACTCCTTATCCTCTGATTTACATTCAATATCTTAACAATGTGCTTTATATTGTAAAACTTGAGATTTAAATTCTGAATCTCGTATTTTATGCTGAAAAATATGAGTAAATTCGAAGGTTTTATACGCTTTTGTAAAGCATGTATTTTCCAACCGTGGCATTTACCCGAGAGTGGATAACGTCTTTCAAGATGAAAGCAATAGCAACAACATTGAAATTAGATTCAATGATCACAAGAAAATTGTTTATTTTTATTTCTGATATTGAGTTAAGTTATCTCTACCTTAGGCCACTAAGAGTAATAACGAGATATAGGAAACAGCTGGATGATGCAGTTTAATTCATTATTTGGTTCTACAATATCTAACACTGAATTGTCAAAAAGTGTTATTCACTTGTGTGCATATTATTTTAATGATTTCAATATTACAGAATATTTGAAATTTCAAGCAGTTTCAAGAGGACAAAAATTTGATAAACGATTATAAATACGAATTGTCTCCCTTTAAGCGTTGGACATTACATTGCATATTCTTTTTCCTTCAACTCGGCCTATTTATTTTTAAATATTTATGAAACTTGAGTCAGACAGCAATATGATAACTGATATTCTATATCAGGAAACTGGAATTAGTGACAACATTATCTTTGTGGCAAAGATATAATAAATCATATTTGAAAATGTCACACTGAACTTTTGCTAGCAAGGGCTAAATGTACTATACTGCACTTGTTCGTGACGAGAGGAGCGAAATAATTACGATAAAATTTCAACAGACGCATAGAAGCATCTATCTTCATTTAGAATGGCACGTAAAATTAAGATAAAATTTATTTAAACTGTTTTGCTTGGACAAATTTAAATAAAAATCTTGTTTTCTTGCGTACGATACTCCTGATGGTCTGAGATCTATTAGGTGTGGTGCCGTTGGAAGCGAGATCTTAATTAAGGACATCGTATTTTTTTCTACTCCGTATCGATTTGGAGTATCCGGATAAAACAAGATCAACAACATATGACGGAATAATTGTAATTCAACACAAGTTATAAGTTTATTTATTTATTTTTTAATTTTGGATAAATAAAAATAAAACGACGCTTAATTGAACTCGTACTCTTTAATAAGGTATTGCTGAGCTTTACAGTATTAAAATATTCAATCCATGAACTCCATTAAACTTCTATTTTTTACATAGGTGTCTTACATTTAATAGTAGTGTTCTGTTTTGCGATCTCTCCTTTTGCAAGCTGCTCTTATTGACAGACGCCGAGAAGCACCCAAATCTGCATGTATCTGTTTGGATACGTGCATATGGCCGACGAATATCAATACCACGATAAGTATTAATTATAATCAAGGAATTTTAAAACGCGACAACCATATTACAGTTACTATTTATAGTGTAACCTAAAAACGACATTGCCTCCCCTTTTGATATTGTAACATATAATATCTTGTATTCCACCATATATGACGTAATCGAGGCCTTTTTCAATAGCACAGTCACAATGGTAAAAAAATCCACATGTGTCGGCTTATTGTCAAAGCGGATTACAGTACAAAAAAGGTCTATAGATAATAAATAGGCAAGTAAGGCTTGGTTTCTATGTCATGCCCTACAAATCTTCAACTCTACCGCGCCATTGGTAAGCTAGTTACAGCAGCTGCAATTAACAACGTAAATTACGATTTTGTTGTCACAGTTCTACAATATATCGTGTCATACAGCGACACAACCTCATTGGCAAGCTAGCCACATATAACTAAACAAGGTTAGGACTACTTGATGTTTAAGTCATTGGTACACACGAGGAGAAGTTTTCAACTACATAACAGGTCTTTTCACACAACGCTTCTTGTTTTCATGTGATGGATTCCATCATATGAAGGATGAACTTCTCTGAGAGGTAAAACTCCATTATTATACTTTTTGTGACGGTAATCTTTTGAAAGGTTTGATTTTACAAAATTGATAAAAATCCAAAACAAATGTTGTGTAAAGAGAAATGAAAAAAAGTTTATAGTAGAAAAACTACGGAGCCCGTTAACTGACATGCTCCATACTTATTTTATTTCGTTTTTTCGAAATATTATTTCGTTTTTTCGAAATAATAATTCGTTTAATATTTCGAAAAAACGAAATAATATTTCGAAAAAACGAATTATTATTTCGAAAAAACGAAATAAAATAAGTATGGAGCATGTCAGTTAACGGGCTCCGTAAAAAAACAATATGTTGCCTCACGACCTTTCTTCAGTAAAGGTGTCAGAATATGTTTTACGGGAAGTTATTCATTATCTGACATTTGTTCTTATTTTTTCCTGAATAACAGACATTCTGTTATTGCCATGGCAATTAAATAAAAAAAAGAGATAAATTGTCATCTTATATAAGAAGGTAAGAGGTAAAATCCTTTTTTCGACCATCTCCTAGTATTAAACATTAAATGTTCGGATAGAAAAATTTTCAAGGATACTTTTCATGATGAAAAAAGGAGGGGGTCACATCATTTGTTGAATCCTATAAGTTAATAAGGAACATCAAAATTATTAAAAACAAATAGAATCGGGGTAGTTAGTAAGTATGTCTGATGGTTTCGTTGCTGTTAACCTTGTTGTTGTTTGAGAGCACGATATTACTTACATAGCGCTTGTCGTCGATGGAGAAGACGCATACCATTCCAGAACATCTGGTCTTATTCTCAGTGGCTTTTTTTTATTGTTAAGCGTGCCGTGTAAATGTTTTTCCATAAATTGCTATCGTTTCAGCTATTTCAAGTTTTTTTTCTTCTGTTAATTGTAACTTTCAAACGATACGCCATTGCTTCTCCAGTACATAGATGACACGACAAATTTGTTAAAGCAATGGTCTCTTTAAGTTTTGGTGCTGGTTTTAGGAACTGTCAATCAATCATTAGTCTGAGACATATAGCGGTAATGATTATTATTATATAAGGTGACAAGTTATTTCTGATAACTTTTGAACTTTACCTAAAACTTTATCTACTTCACACAAATTCAAAAACAGGTTAATCCGACTTAAATCAATTACCGCAGCAGAAAGTTCTGATTGGCCAGGTGAACAATGCAGATCAGGATTATAAAAGACCAGTTTAAACTAAGGTACACGACGTACGTTCAATAGAACTAAAACTAATAAACGTTGAACTCATATATTGAAACTTTTTTTGTACAATAGTCAGTGTTTTGAGTGGTTAGATCTATTTATAGAACACGATTGACAAGTGTCACTTGTTCCTTATGCTTAGCTATTTCCGCAAGGTGTGTACGTGTACGGTAGCAATCCTACTAAATGGATGATGGTGATAATGCCGTGTCAGACGTCATAATTCGATGCCTGATCTTGCCGAAGGAATATCCTTTGATGGTAGCACACCTAAGACACGTGATTTGAACTTGTTATTAAGAAAACGAAGAAGTGTCAACTTGAATCATATCATCACGACTTACATATTAATCCTACGTTTCTCCGACAAACAGCCACAGCAGTTTCGTATGCTTGACGTCCGAGATGCAAGAAACTGTTGAAAAAGTCTTATGCTAGAATCACACCATTGCCTTGGCACGCTATAATATTCTTTTCTATCTATCACCAAGATTCATCTCTCTTTATCTTTTCCTCTCTAATGCACTATTATCTCCCTGATACACCTTTCCACTGTTTACTTAACCTTGACCTTGTGTAGTGAGTATTGATTTTGATCAGGGTTTATACGCTATGCAGGTGATCTGTCTGTAATTTGGCACAGGGTTTCAATCGGTAGTTTTTATAACATAACTCATGGAGAACCGACTCCTAAAAATCAGATTTCTAATGCATACCATTCAATTTACAAAGCTATTGTATACCTACTTTTAAAACAAAGGTATTATACCTTTTTCTTAACGTGCTTACATTTACAGTTTAACAACATATATCTTTCTCATATATTGTTATTACTGTTCATATTAGACACGGACGTAACAACAAGCACCGCCCCTCCGAAAATGAATTGACTTTATTTCATTTGAATACTTAAACTGTATGAAATAAAAATAAACAAGAATACACTGAAAATATCATAAATGAATGAAATATATGTGTTTTACTGAAACACACTTAGATGATCACGTTTCCTCATCTGAATTAACTATACCAGTCTTTATGGACTCTTATTGTCAGATTTGATGAACGTTTGTGATATTTTGGTGCCTTGACAACACGACAACGCGAAAACGCAAAAAATCTTACGCGCCAATACAACAGAGCGGCAATCAGCAAAAGTACCCCTCCAACCAACATACCTATTTGTCGCAATGGTGCGTACTTGTCGCGTCGTCGGTGTATGTCACATTATGGCGTTGTTGTCCTGTTGCTTTGTCACGTCGCCTTGGCACCAACGCAACAAAGCGAAATGACCGCAAGCAGCCACCATACTATTCTAATTTGTTAGATCGAACAAATGAACTATGTTTAAATAAATAAATAAAAAAACAAAACAAAACAAAATAAATGAAATGGAAGCTCGAAAAGGGTCGTCCCTTGAAGAAACCAGAATATCCAGGGAAAGCCGATGTGTTCGAGCAGGTGACCCCATACTTTTTCACGTCCGTTCAAAGTATCGAACCTCAGACGCCTAATTTAAAAGCGAGTGCATTTCAACTGACCAACCGACTATCCAACTCACCTGCAAGGCCTTAGACACCGTTATTATCAGTATATACTAGTAATGGTACTCAACAGGTTGTGTAGATGAAATTATTGTTTGTCAGTTACGCAATGCAAGGCCATATCCAGCTTCAATTACGTGTTTCATGTTACTACTGATGCTATGTAAAGAAAAATGAAATAAGAGATCATGGAAATGATAAAGAGGTACTGATGTGATGTGTTGTCATCTTCGTTTATTTAATTATAATACTAAATACGTCTATACATCGATCACCAGAATATCGTCATTAGCCTTATGAACCTTATATATCTTTATAACAATCGAGCGTCATTAGTCCAATGTACCAATAAACGGTAGTATTGATGAAATCTAACTAGGCTGTTTGGCTAGTAATTATCGGGCATAATATTAAAACAATTGGACCATTTGTCTCCCTTTTCTTGATGTTGCTTTACAATGCTATTTCAGTTATCAAAGTACTTTAAATCTGGATACTTTGCCTGTGGGAACAGTCCTTGACCTTATGAGACTCAGAAACTATATACTTCAGCAACGTCCCGTTCAACATATCTACGCTGCCACATTATCAAACATCTAATACAGCGCTTTATGCATGGCATGCATACATACAGGAACCGATGACACTGATAACTGTTTACAGGGTCGCTATTTACATTTGTCTGTCGATACGATATGTTAGTGTTGTAAACGTCGGGTAAGTGTTAGCTTTATTATGCAGGCTGGAGAGGACGAATTTTTGGCACATTGCTTTGTGATAGAAAGTATCTTAAATATTGGCTTTCATTTTATGTGTGGTTTATGAAAAGAAAACTCATTTAAGATCTATATGCATGGTGTCAGTACAGGCCCTCGTTGCTGTTTAATTTACATATTTTGACTCGCTTATTTTGTCATCTCTGTCATGCAAGAGTCATTCTGAAATGTTCCGTTTCAGACAAGATATTGGAATGTCTGTATCAGTTGCCATACCTAACGTGACATCCCAGCTCGGAGAGGGGCCCCACTGGGAGGAAGATACACAAACACTGCTATTTGTGGACAGCTTGGAATGCAAAGTGTACAGATGGAACTCGCTCACAAAAGACGTTTCCTCTGTACAGCTAGGTGATGTCATACAACATTTAGCCTACACCTTTCATACTTAAAAGCGCACGCTACATATGTAACCTGTGAAGAATAGTTTTCAATCGGTCTCTTCTACATCAGCCGCATATCTCGATCTTTTCCTACAACGAAAACGATATGGATACTGTATGACAAACGTGATGATCTCAATTTCACTATTTCTGGATAGCAACATACCCTCATCCCAAGCCAATGGTGTTTATATATCGCATTTATTCGATATTCAAGGACCTATTCCCATTATCACGATTTTCGTACAAGAAATCGTCAGCTGATGGACAAACTCGTAATGTTGATGAAGTATTAGGGAAGTTTTACGGTAGTGAAAGTGTGCGTCTGTAGCCTGATGTGTTTGATACTTGTTAAATTGTCTGTTTGTTCCATTGATATACACCATGTTCTCACTTGAGAACTTGACATTTCTTGCATGGATTGGGCAAAGTTTACATGGCGGGTGTCATCGATGAAACAGACGACACTTACACTTCCGGAACACCTGGTCTTATTCAGGAGTCTCCGAGTACATCTTTCTTTTGGACATAGTTTTCCTTAGTTTTACTTGAGTTTTGATTAATGTTATGTTGACATGAAAATATTTCTTAATTTTTTTTTACAATTAAATAAATTCAGAGCTTGTTTGACCAACAACTAATTAAGATTTTTTGTTCTTCTCGGAAGGCGACACAGTGGGATCGGTGGTACCTTTTCAGAATGGAGGCTACCTGGCCGGAGTAGGTCGGACCATCTCGCACTTTGAATGGAACACTGGAGTTACCACAAAGCTTCAGGAAGTCAGTTCAACAGGTTTGGATGACCGGTTTAATGATGGCAAATGTGATCCAGCAGGAAGGTTTTGGACAGGTAAGATTCGGAAGTTAAAACTGACCAGCTACAAGGTGCTAAGCAGGTAAGTTAAGAGTGACCCTTGTCATGAAGAATCCGACATTTATGTCGACCAATTCTGATTTTCCTCAGACGTCTCTTACGATTCAACAATTTCGGCCCTTAGCATCACTAACGACTTCTTGAAGGACGAAACGACTTTATGGTGCAAGTTCTCTCTTTCATGAAACATCCAAAGTATCTCAAATACAAGCTATCTTGCAAATTATGAGCAAGGAAAAGTTTGTAAATATATAACATGAAGAAAACACAAGAAAAAATATTCAAGTATCTCAGGTTCTACGTTACGCTGGAACGCTCAATTATTCAGCAATGCAAACAATATCTATAAGATGTATTTGTCAATTTCAACTTTTCTTTTTTTACGGTGGGAAATAAATGTATAAATGACATCAACATACTTTGTTTTCAAATATAGGGACTATGGGTAGTAAGATTAGTTATAACAACGGCATACCGGTCTTCGAGCAAAACGTCGGCAGTCTTTACAGCCTGGACAAAACAGGGGCACTTTCCAAACATTTTAGTGGGATCACGGTATCTAACGGGCTTGCATGGTCATCTGACGAACGAGTGATGTTCTATATAGACACAGGAACCAGGAAGGTGGAGGCATTTACTTATGACGTGGAATCCGGTGAAATAAGTATGTATTGGAGTTAAAAATTCCATACTTATGCTTGTTTTTAACATCATATTTCCATAAAAATGAGGCAAGTTGCATACATTTACATGATAATTACTTATTTGTCGTAATTATATATTCTGTGGGTATTTTATGCATGCTTTTTTGTAATTGTTTTATTTTTGCAATTTATTTTTACAAAGGCTGTAGACAAATACACTAAATATGACATACACTCATACACATTTATATGCACACTCAGAGCCATCAATACTCGATATAGAAATCAGGCACATACTTGCACACACATACATCATCATGACATAAATTCATGAATTATTTATCAGGCATGTTTACATGCACATACACCTTGCTTTTGACCTTACAGGTGATAGGCGTGACGCTATCACCTTCGAAACATTTCCGGAAAAGGCAACAATGGGTTGGCCGGACGGAATGACCATTGACACAGAGGGACACCTCTGGGTCGCCTGTTTTGGAGTTGGAAAGGTCATCTGCTTTGATCCTGCCACAGGTAAGACATAAGGGTGAATCGATAGTGCATTGTTACTATCTTGTGTATTTTGGTCTATAATCTGTTTGCCATCTCGACATGAGTGTGCATAAGATTATATGATTATAGTACAGCCATAAAAGTTGGTCGGTTCCTGAAAACCACGTACACTACGTACGTTACGACTGGTACGCTCCATACTGGTCATTTGTCTGACGAAGGGGACTGTGTAGTCGTTCAAACATATTCAATTGATTTAAAAAGAAACAATCAAAGGGGATTGGGCACAAGTTCTAGAAACTAATTAGGCCCTCTCCTGACAACAACATTCATAACTATCCATGAATTATTCCTGTTATGTAGTATTAAATGTACTTGATGGATTTAGATACCAGTGAACAAAATAATTCTTCCTCAAGGAACGGACTTTTCTAAACCTCATTACTTAACTAGATTGACAATAACATTCTAACGATGTTGGCCAGTTATGTAAATTATGTAACACTTTCCAAGAGAATGTACCTAAACTATCTTGTGTTGTTTCATTAGGAACAAAATTAACGGAAGTAAATATCCCTGCACCAATTACAACTTCCTGTTGTTTTGGCGGGAAAAATTTGGACGAGTTGTATATCACTACTGCGCCGTTTGCAGCTACAGAACAGGAACTCCAACAATATCCATCATTAGGATCAGTGTTCAAGGTCACAGGACTTGGGGTGAAAGGTCGTCCCGCCAACGTATATCAGGGTGATATCAAAGGTCGATTGTGAAGTCGACACGCATGGATAAAAATATTCGTTACTTTGCATAATGGTGTAAAACTGTACTATCTGTATTAGTTTTCAGTACACGAACAAAACTTTCAAACAGATCATTTGTTTTAGTTAAAGAATATGGTAGAACGTCATTGCAGCGGCGGATATTTGTACAATATACATTTCCTAGAGGTGATATGAACACGAGTATTCCTTTTTAAAATATACACAGAAGATTTAAAGGACCTGAATTAAATCATCGCAATGAGTTTTATCGTGTACATGTATCTTTGTAATGTTTGTAGAACACAAAAAAAATGTAGTTTACAAGCCTCTTTGTCTGACCAAGCAAATTCATTATACATATCAAGGCGTTTATATTATATAAATTTGTCGTTGATAAATACAGACGTAGTAATGTCTCAGTTATATCAGTAATAATATTAGACGGGTTATCTGCAGTGTCTGATTTTCAGTTATTTTTTGCACATTTATGGATTTTTATTTTCTTTCTTTCTTTATTTTCTTTCTTTATTTATTTTTCTTTCTTTATTTATTTCTTTGAACATAACACAATGTTCATTTTAAGAACAATCCCCTTTAAGAATAGAAATTGAAATCATTTTCATGAAGTATTGACTTCATCCAAAATAGTTTTTGGAAAAAAAATCGAAAACAGTTATAGTCATCAGAAGGTACAAAGTTTCATTCGTCCTGTAAAATAAAGGTGTTTTCACATAAACTGTCATTCTGGATAGCTACCCGATGAGTTCTGAGTTCTATGTCAGGCGATGTAGTAGTAGTTTTGCATACTAATTTAATTCTATATATGTATATACATAACCCCATGCCTCCTTGGAATCGAACCTCAGACGTCTTCGTGAAAGGCGAATGCGTTACCACTGCGTCACCCAACCACTAAGAAACGCATGACATCAAGTTAGATAAAAGGTTTTCATTGTTGCATTACATTCGTAATGAATTCCCAATGTTCAATAGATGATTTCTATTCTTACCTGACCAAAGTCAACATTTAGTCATATCTCCTGTTCAAAGAGGCATATTATTGGTTTCCTTAAATTGGACACATATTTCAGGCACCTGAACCCAGAATTTTTTAGATAAAGTCTCATTCCTATATGTTCAGCGGCTGCTCAAATTTAATTAGGCATAACCTTCCATTCCTCGCTTGCATGTTACTGAAGAACACCTGATGCCTTGTAGACACATCTTTGCCTGTGAGACGGAGCCCAAAGCATTGATTTTGCTGTGTTATAAATAAAATAAACCCAGTTGTTTTCCTTATTTGGTATGAAAGCAACATAAACCCAAACTTAACTTTTCTGTCACGACTAAAACAATACCTTGTCAGAGATGTGTTTAAAAAAATGAAAAATAATAATTAATAAAAACGATAATAAATAAATAAAAGCTCCCGAATCTCGAATGTACAATTAATTACTTTGACATGAAAAGGTAACTGATATTCGTATCTTCTCTTGCTTATTTAAACTTAACATACAATCCGAATTACATGGAGAATATGATGAAACGGAAGTAATGAAACGGTAAACGTCAGCTTTAGGGGAGTCGACGCTTTTTACCTATTGAATGATGCTCGGAACCTTTCGTATGTCATAAACATTATCATAAAAATTTCAATACGTTTGCGTCTTAAGGTTTTATGGTCAAATGCGTCCCTTCGTTTTATGGAATAACAAATAACCATTATTTTTATAGAGGCAAGGAAACCCGACGGTTTCTGACAGTTTCTTGGTCAATTTCACAGCTTCTAACTCACATATTCGTATATCATTAAGTATTAAGAACGATTCTACTATATCCGTCGCTCGGAGGCACCATTGATGGTTCGGATTACGCCAAAGGTTTGTCTGAATGCTATATTTGCTGAAAGGTCACGGCTATTCGCAGAATAGTCAACTGTAAGACCGCCCGTTCTGGGAGTTCTAATGTCTCCTAATTTTAAAAAAAAAGTATATTTCAATATTATTGCAAATGCCGTTTAAAATTGACATATGCTGACAAAAGCTTGCTGTGATGTCCGTAATTAAGCCATGGTGTTATCAGCACTACACCACTGTTGCCGGAGGAAACCCCTAACAAACTATAACGACCTTCAGAAAATCTGCTAATTATCAGCCAAAATACATCTCAACATAAATCAGCTGTTGTGTAGCATTGAGGAATGGTCTCTAGAAACATAATTAAACCGAACTCAAGCCTCTAGACATTTGATAGATGCCGCTTAAGTCAACTATTTACTCATCAAAGAAGCAATATCTAATATACCACTACCCTAGAAATAACACCTACCATCACCCGTGATTATTATTCCTCACGTGCCTGGGGCATTTTTACTGAACACGTAGTGTAGAGTTAGTCACGACTCCTTTATATAACCCAATAAAATTATTCGTGTTATTAATTGGAAAATGTACACGCCTTTTGCTACAAAATTCAAACAAAACATTCAAATAAGGACAGAAAGATTATTTATGATAACGTTAAGAAAAAGGTAAGTTGATATTATTTTAGTCACGACAGATCGATTTTTATGTCGTATTATTTATAGCAGTTTTTATTAACTTTCGTGAATCAAGGAAATATGATTTATCTATCTCCATACAAAATGAGAAATATTTCCCTAAAATAGATAGTTCAAACAAACAATACTGTATATTTAAACAATATTAAACAAATTGTTCGGCTTTTTAAAATACCTTTCCAATCATAAGCATTAATATCATCCTCCATGAGTAATACATGTACGTCCGAGATATGTTTTTCCTTTCGGTCATGGAATAAGCAGTGAAATATACACGATTAATGATAGACATGTTTACTCTACCGCTAAGAGTGACCGAATATCAACACGTGCTTTTGACCTGGACCGGAAATCTTCGTTAATGACCGTTCTTGACATTGATTGACTAATAGATACAAATCGTTATGACAGCTTACCAAACAACCCCCTTCCCTCTCAACCACTTCATAAATATATCGAGCTTAAGAATAAAGAAGGACTCATTAAAATTAATTTCACATTTGTTGCTAGATAAAGTCAAACATTGTTTCTGTGTTTTATTTTGTAAGCCTGAAAGGTAGGCCAATACTGAACATTAACATATATATCCATAGATTGTGATGAATCTGTAATCTCGAGATTTCTCATCATGAATATTTTGTATTGTGATGACAATGCGGTATTATTACAAATATAAAGACACTATTAAACACCACTTAATTGACTACGTCTTAAATGTATTACTAGCAGTCATTATTGCCCCTTCACGAGGCTCCGCGTTTTACAAATTTCAATCACTTTCGTGACCGGCAGGTGGCGCTACACCGAACAGTAATCAGTACTACTATTGGTAAAATACCTTCAAGCTTGACGAAACGTCAATCTGGCCGCATTGTTGACTCTCAACCAACTAAGCCTAATTCCAAATCTTAATGATGCTTATCGGTATTATTAAACATTTGAATGGACACTATTACAATTGCATTGCGGAAATTCATTATTTATCAGTGACCAACCAATTCATTGCATGCAATTCCTACCTATATCGGATTAAAATCAATGATTTCGTTCTCCCGGTCCCTGTTCCTATTTCAACTGAAGGCATGGCGCATTTAGTACACAGAAATGTAACAAAGACAAAACATCCTTTGTCCAAATTAGTTTCTTTCCCGTGCACAGATATGTTGATTTCCGGAAAAAAAACACTGGCGCCACAAAGAAATTAAAGACGATGCTTTTGTTTTGCAATCGGCCCAATTTCGACCATTTCATTTAAGCACTATACATGCACCAATTGCATAGAGGTAACTAGAATCGTTAGGTCTACAAAAAAGTAAGATTTTTTTTCAGAAATCTTGTAGGTACATGTCTAGGGAAAACAGTTCATGAAAATATCAAGTACGGTTCGTATGCCCGATGCGATAAAAGGTTTACTGAAGATTGCGCAAAGAGAGGCGGTTTTCCGGGATATATTGGAACATCAGTCGATCTTTTTTCTTTGAAGGTTATATAGAATAATCTATCAATACTTATCATCGTTACTTTGTGTGTCGAAATAGGATCATTTTACAAGATATCACATGTCTGTCAACCTCTTACATCTACACTAAGGGGGCCTATCACTGTATTAAGTTTTATTCAGGTGTCTGATATGCAGCATCTGAAAATCTGGAGTGTCATTGTAGCTGCACTTTACATCTTAACCATAAATTAGTTTGCCTAAAGTGAACAACAGTACATGTGACAGTTCAAAAGTGGGTTTTGTCCGAAGAATTATGTATCTGTAAGTTGGATTTAACTCCCATCAACAACCAGGGTCATTTCGGTGCGATGCGAGATCTCCTTGCAGTAGCTGATTGCTATATTACTATATGAAATAAGAGAATCTCATTAAATGTCGTTTACAGCAATCGCGGTTAGGTGTCTTCGTTATGGACACAACATAATTAGCAGAGACCTGTCCTTTCTCAGCTTCATGAGAAACACAACCGCCCCAGGGGGATCCAGAATCTCAGGAGAGGGTTGAATCATATGCATTTGTGATTGGTGAGTTTATCGTCGCTTAGGGTACCACAAATATCTTAAATCGCAGTTTTAAGAAATAATGTGTCAGAGAATGATTTGTTTGTTCTGTTTGCTGGATTTAATGACCCGTCAACAACCAGCCATTTTGATGCGGGATCGTCTTGTAATATCTGGTGGTTACGTCACTGAATTACATCCTCTCGTGACATCTAAAGCAATTAAAGCTTAATATGTTGCTAATAGTTACAGCAAAAACATTACAGACCAGCACATACCGCCCGAAGAAGAGATCGTCTGGCCACACATCAAAGATCCAGGATGAGGATATGTCGGCTATACTGTTGTGGTCCCTCAAATATATTTATTTTCCCTAACCGCACATGGCAAGATAGAAACAGAGGAATATTGGCACCTACAAGTCAATGACCTACTTTAATCTAAACAA